TTTGCTGGATAAAGTAATCTTGGTTGCAGGTTCTTGCTATTCATCACTTTGAATATTTCTTGCCACTCTCTTCTGGCCTGCATGGTTTCTGTTGAGAAATCAGCTGACAGTCGTATGGGTACTCCCTTGTAGGTAACTGACTGTCTTTCTCTTGCTGCTTTTAAGATTCTCTCTTTGTCTTTTGCTCTTGGCATTTTAATTATGATGTGTCTTGGTGTGGTCCTCTTTGGATTCCTTTTGTTTGGGGTTCTCTGCACTTCCTGGACTTGTAAGTCTATTTCTTTCACCAGGTAGGGGAAGTTTTCTGTCATTATTTCTTCAAATAGGTTTTCAATATCTTGGCCTCTCTCTTCTTCTGGTACCCCTATAATTCTGATGTTGGTACACTTGAAGTTGTCCCAGAGGCTCCTTACACTATCTTCATATTTTTGGAATCTCTTTTTTCTTTTTCTTTTTCGGTTGGGTATTTTTTGTTTCTTTGTATTTCAAATCTTTGACTTGATTCTTGGGATCCTCTTGTCTGCTGTTGGATCTCTGTAAATTATTCTTTATTTCAGTCAGTGTATGCTTAATTTCTAGTTGGTCCTTTTTCATGTCCTCCAGGGTCTCATTATACTTATTGAGGGACTCACTAAATTTATCGGCGGTTTCCATAAAATTCTTGAAAAACCTTATAAACGTGGCCTTGAACTCTATATCCAGTCGTTTGCTTTCCTCCATTTCTGCCATTTGTGACCTGTTTCTTTGTCTCCGCATTTTGGCTGCTTCCCTGTGTTGATAGAGTGGCTTTGTGTGCTAGGTGTCCTGTAGGGCCCAGTGTCTCAGCCTCCCCAGTTACCTGAAGTGGACACTCTTGGTGCACCACCTTGTGGGCTTTGTGCACAGTCTTGTTGTAGTTATGCCTTGGTTGTTGTAGGATCACTGGGAGGAATTGACCTCCAGGCCAATTGTCAGTGAGAATCAGCTGTGTCTGCAGTGGGAGAACTTCTGTGCTGGAGACACCCTTATGGGGCAAGACTTGCTTCAGTGGGGCTTTGGTGCTCACTGAGACTGCACCCTGAGTGTGTCCCTTATGGATCTGAGGAGTTGTGATCTGGATGGTCCCCCTCTGACCACTGGGTACAGTGGCTCTTGGATCTAAGGAGGTGCTAATTTAGCCTCTGCCTGAGGTTACACAGCAGGAGCTACGAAGAGAACTGCAGATTCCCCTTCCTTTTTTGGAGTTTGGAGGTGCCCTGATGAGGCTCAGCTGTGAAGCAATGGAAGCCGCTGTGGGGCCTTGGGCCTTCTCTTGGAAGTTCTGGGTCTGCCTGGCCCGGCTGCAGTTAGGTAATTATCAGGTTGCAAAGGGCTGGGGCATTCATATGCAAAAGCCTCTGCCGCAGCCTGGGTGGGGCGGGGTCTCAAGGAATCAAAGGGCGGAGCAAGCAGCTATGGCGGATCCTTAGCCCTGCCCTAAGGAGTCGCGCGTCTCAGTGCCCCGGTCTCAGTGTCACGGTAACAGCTGCAAGCACCTCTGAGGGAAAGTCACCCTCAAGTTCGCTCGCTGCCAGACAGTCCAGTTTCTCCCCGTATGAGTCCTGGGTCCCCAGAGACTTCCCGGAACCGGAGTTCAGAGCCGTCGGGAGCTTGTGACTCCCTCCGGATTAAAAAAGACAGCCGTGTCCTCAGGTGCCAGCCCCTTTCCGCGCGCGAGCGAGCCTCCGTACCTCTGCACTTTACTTCCGCAGCTCCTCTGGCTCTCAGTGTGCTTTTCTTTCATTCTAGTTGTAGAATTTCCACTCAGCCAGCCTTCCTGTAGTTCTGGATGATGTCCGTTTTGTGTTTTTGTTGTATTTTTCAATTGTTGTGGGAGGCAGCAATTTCCCGGTGTTTATCTATGCTGCCATCTTAGTTTCTCAATTATTATGGTTTTTTAATGAAATGCCATTCATTGGAAAGGCAGCAGTGTAATATGTATGTATTTATTGAGTGTGTTGATAGTATCAGGGAATAACAGGCTCAATTCTTTTCCTTCATGTTGTTGAGGTGCCCCCTAGATTCCTGAAATTAGACCTTGATCCACATATAAGCAGTAAATTACCTTGTTTATCCCTTTGTCTTTAGGTACAATTAAAGTGAACATATCCCTCTGACTGTGGGAATATTATGGCAGAGAATTTAAAGTGGATTCCAGGAGACCTGGGTAATATTCTCTCTCTCTCTCTCTCTCTCTCTCTCTCTCTCTCTCTCTCTCTCTCTCTCTTCCTCCCCCTCCCCCTCCTCCTCCTCCTCCTCCTTTTTTCTTGTGTGTCAGAAAGGACAGTCAGAACACTCCAGATGAGAGAAAAATAGTGACCAAAGAGAGAAGAGCCCTGGAAAGCAGCCTGGTTCTGTGCGTGCAGCGTGCTTCTAGAGAGGTTGCAGAGGGAGAGGGTGGGATCAAGGATGAAGGAGGAGGGAAGGCCAGGTAGCTAATTGCATAGTCATTTCATTAGAATTGTGTATGACACGTGTTTATATATTGCCATTAAGCTATGTGAGTGACGTCAATGATTAGATAAACAATGACTAGGTAACTTACATGTTTAAATAAAATACCCCATGATATTATATCGCTTTTTAATAAAAATAATATCTGAATCATGCTAATTTATTGATTTGATGGTTATATTGCAGTTGTATAGGAAAACATATTTATTAAAAACATTTCTGTGAAATATAAGTTAAAGTTCTGGCGTGATGAAGGATCATATTGGCCACCTACTCTTACAGGTTCAGAAAAAACAAATCTGTACCATACTTGCAACTTTTCTCTAAGTTTGATATTCCTTCAAAATAGTAATAAAAAGGGTAAACCAAGGCTGGACGTTTATATGATCTGACCAAGGCCACCTGGGTAATAAGTGGCAGCACCAAATTGCAACTCAGGTGTGTCTGGCTCCTGAATCCACACCCTCCTCACCAAGCACATGGCCCCCGACATCGCAGCTGCCTCTCCAGACCCTTCAAAATTGCCCCTAGAAGGTCCCTCCCTGGATGGTCACCTGTGCAGCCGCCTGCCTCCTCGAAGCCCCGCTGAAGTCCTTTTGCTGGAACTGCTCCCCACTGACCCAGCCTGCCCTCCATCCACCTGGCTCCTCCATCCACGTGGCCCGGCACCTATGTTAGGGCACGTGGCTGGCAGCTGCTGGGCAGCTGAAGCACTCAGGGCTCCAAGTAGCTCTGGCTGGCTTCCTGTCCCTAGGAGCGGGGTTCCATCAGCTGAGCTCCCACTCCCCAAAAGTCCTCTGGCTCTTCCAGAGGACCTTGAGATTTTTCAAACCACTTACAAGTCAGCATGGCAATGTTTTCTTGTCTTGGTTCCCCACTGTCACCAACCCTACAATTTGAGATTCCCTCCTAATCAAGTGGCTTGAATAGGGGATCTCATCAATTCGGGCTTTGTTTACGATTCCACCACTTAAGGACATCAGCATTGCAGGTTATCAGACATCACCCACTGCCAAAGGCAGAAGCTGCCGCTCTCCTGTGACTTCCAGGCCCTGCCTGCCTCCCCACAGCTGAACCTGCCAGCGCCCAGCAAGGGGACGCGCATGACCTGTGATGCCACAGTCGTTAACCTGTGACTCTGAGCCATGCACCCTCCTCCTCAGCTGCAGGCTCTAGAAGCAGGAGTGGGGAGGCCTGGGGGGCTGAGTGCTGGACACACCCCGGGACAGGCCATTTGTTCCAGGTCAGCCTGGCCACTCTCAGCTTGAGCCAGGGCCTCTGCACTGCCTGGAGCCACATGGACCCTTCCAAGCTGAGGAGGCTCTGGGGCTGGCCTGGCCCCATGGACATATACCTGGTGGCTGAGCTGCCCCCTTGCTCTCCTGGGAAGAGTCCAGCCTCGGGATGCTCTTTCCTGGTGGTGGGCATTCAGGGGCTGGTGGTGCTTGCCGGTGGGTGTGTCACCAGCCAGGATGGGCACCACGGCCAGAGGGGAGGGCTTCCTTGCCACGTGTGTTACCGGGCCCTGGGTGAGTGCCCTCGTCCTGCACTGCTTGGAAACTGGTGGAGGGGACTGTCCCTTCTTCAGACCTGCAGTTGCTCTTTGCAGGCTTCCTAAGTGCCCCTCCATGCTGAGTGCCCATGAGGAAATGCGCTGTGTAAACAGATGGCTGCTTCCGGCCGGCCTCACCGGAGTGGAGGCCCTTGTGACAGGAGCCTCTCCAGCATGGAGAGGAAGCATGCTCATCTACCTCCGTATAAATGCTGCTGCCCACCCTCCACTCTGAGCTGGAGGCAGAGATCCACGTGGGCTCCGTGTGGGTGAGTGTAGCCCCATCCCCTGGTGCTGCCCATTGCAAAGGTTGCAGGCGGTGGGAACCAGCCCAGCAGTCACCTTCTCATATTTTGCTGGGCTCCTCAGCCAGGTCCATTCCCACAAGGAACTCAGCGAGACCTGACAGGGAGCAGAGAATAGTCTGTCAAGAAGGGGTCGCCTGAGCAGGAGGAGGGTCTCCCCATCATTGGCCATCTTGGAGTGGTCAGGCCATGGACCCTGGTCATCTTCATTCATCCTCAGAAACATGATCCCTTAGAACCTGAGAAGAGGGTAGCTGAGAGCATCAGGGGCAGATGGAGTGAGTGAGTGACCACACCGCTCCTCCCAGCAGCCTGGGAGGGCAGGGCAGGGCAGTCTCCAGGGCGCGGAAGTTCCAGCTGAATGAAGAGTGGTAGAGTCACTTCACCGTGGTCGCCCAGCAAGGTGCAGAGACCCCATTAGAACCCAGGTCCTCTGGCTCTCCAGAGCTCTCTACCACGTACTCCTCACTTGCCCAGGCACCACACCACCTCATGCAGAGCAATGAGGCATGAGACCATGTCAGATGTCAGATGATGCTGGGAGTTTCCAAGGATGGTTTGGGTCCTCCCAGAGCTCCTGTCTGTACCTGGCCCTGAGGCTCAGCTGTGTGAGGGGAGGGAATACCTTTGCACATGCTTCAGGTGGCTGACAGTTCTTCCTTTCTGCAGGAGGAGCAGTTGGAGCAGAAGCCATGTTGCTGTGCCCGTTGGCCCTCACCCTCGTCCTGCTGGTGGTCTCTGGCATCGAGTGTGAGCTGAAGGAAGTTTGTTCTGGAAGCCCGGGCATCCCTGGCACTCCGGGATCCCATGGCCTGCCAGGCAGAGATGGGAGAGATGGTGTCAAAGGAGACCCTGGACCTCCAGGTACTGGCTGGGGGACCCCTGCCTCAGCTGAGGGACAGTGATCTGTTTTCAGGAGCCCAGTGTGTTTGGGGCTCTGGAGGGGACCTAAGGGTCAGCTGGATGGTGAGGCATGGTGGGAGTTTCCCAGAGCCCTTAGAGCAGCCCTGGAGGATCTCTCCTCAGAGTGCCCATTTACTGATAGACGACTCAGCCTAGCTGATAATGAAGGTCCTATCACGTGAGTCCAACCCTGTTGTGAATGATCAATACCATGCGTCCATGTGCCCTTCTCTCTGCAGGCCCCATGGGCCCCCCTGGAGGAATGCCAGGCCCTCCCGGGCGTGATGGGCTGATCGGAGCACCTGGCATTTCTGGTGAGCGTGGAGACAAAGGAGAACCTGGTGAGAGGGGCCCTCCAGGTGAGCAAGGTGGGGAAGGCAGGCAGTGGCAACATGGGCACAGTGCCCGTGTGATTGTCACATGAGGGAGGATGGGGATCAGACAGAACCATGGAGGTCCCCCAAGGGCATATTACTCAACCTAATAAGAGAATCTGAGATTGAGGAGAGACATCAAAAGGTTGTGGGTGGTAGGCCACAATGCAGGGACCGATGGCTGTTGTAAGTGCTCCATGCATCACAGCTGCCATAGAGGAGGTACACGGTGTTGGGTGTGGGAAATGGGTAGTCCTGGGCGGCAGTTCCTAGGGGTGAGGCACTAGAGGAATTATGAAAGGTGTAGGGGGTACGCGGACTAAAGATCCAAGCAGACGGTGTGATTGGGAGCCCCACATGCAGAGGGAAAGTCCGAAGCGCTTAGTAATCCAGGTCCATCAGGAGCGTGCACAGAGAACCACACCTGCCCTGGGGAGGGGCTCTGCCCAGAAACCAGAAAAACCCACAGAGGTGGGCACACAGCCATCAAAGGCTGTGGCTGGAGAGGAGAGCAGAGAGGGCTCTGCAGGTGCAAGGCTGCGTGAAAAGACAAGTGTATAGGGAGTGTGGAAGCACACTCCAAGGTAGTGGACCCTTGCGACTTGGGGCCTGGGCAGTGGGTATGGACAAGTAGAAGGAAGAATGCCAGGCTCGCGGCTGGTATCACACCTGTTGGCTTACCCTCATTATGGATGGGGTTTTCTCTACAGGGCTTCCAGCTTATCTGGATGAGGAGCTCCAAACCACACTCCAAGACCTCAGACATCAAATCTTGCAGTCAAAGGGAGGTAAGGGACCCCTTAGGGCCTTACAGGACAGGGGGTCTCCCATGAGTTCCCCTCATCCTCAGTACCAGGCTCCAGAACTTAGCAACTTGACAAACAGTTGTGGATATGCATGTCTTGGGGAAAATAATGATGCTTCCCTTTTTGATGTCTTTGATGGCCCAGAGGGGACAGAGGTAGACACAGATTAGCTCCCTACGTCATGGAAAAACAAGGTCTCTGCCTGTCTTGATTTCCACTGAATCCCAGAAACTGCAGTTTGGGGCACATAGTAAGACAGTTAATAAGTAATTGTTAAATGCAGGAGTGAATGAACAGAATGATGAGAGCACAGAGGAGAATTTAGAAAGGCTAGGATTGGAAGACAGAGGGAAGACAGAAAGGCAGAGGTGAAGAGATTGGAGAGCATATAAAGGCAGAGCCCAAGTGAGGCAAAGAGGCCAGTGGTCTGACCCAGATTCCTCTGCTCTCAGTCCTCAGTTTGCAGGGTTCCATGCTGATGGTGGGAGAGAAGGTCTTCGCCACCAATGGGCAGACGGCCAATTTTGATGCCATTAGAGAGGCATGTAGCAGAGTTGGCGGCAGCATTGCAGCCCCACAGAGTCCAGAAGAGAACGAGGCCATTGCAAGCATCGTGAAGAAGCACAACACTTACGCCTACCTGGGCCTGTCCGAGAGCCCCACCCCTGGAGTCTTCCACTACCTGGATGACACTCCTGTAAATTACACCAAATGGTACCCTGGGGAGCCCAGGGGTCGGGGCAAAGAAAAGTGTGTGGAGATGTACACAGATGGGCAGTGGAATGACAAGAGCTGCCATCAATACCGACTGACCGTCTGTGAGTTTTGAGCAGGCATCAAGGCCGCAGGAGAGACAGGGTCCCGCCTTGCTTTCAGCCGCCAACCTGTGGATCCCCCTGTATATCCTTTTCAACAACATTTATCTGTGGCTATTCCAGTTGGAGGCATTCTTAGCCACTCCACTCCCCATTAGGGCCCTCACGCTTCCCCTTTGATCGCTAATCAATCTGACATGCCCCCTGGCGCTCCTTCTCAGCACTGCACTCTAGGCAGCCACTGCTACCTTTGCCCTTTGTCGAGAGATGGAGACTCCTTTCTTCCTCCTCTTGTTCAGTTCCTTCATTTATAGGTGGTAACAGTGAGGTCCTGGGATGGAAGATCCCTCCAAAATCACACAAAGGGTGCCTGCTTCCTGGCTACCTCTACTCTTTCTCTGCAGCCCACTCCCTGCCCAGTCTCATCGATTTAGCAGTTCTGGTAAAGCATAAGATAGAAACAGGTGGACTTCTGGGATATTCCAAATTTGGGGACTATCTGTCAGTCTGTGGCCTCTGAGGACCCATGTGGTCAGTCTTCCCATGGGGTCAGAGGGCCAGCTGGTGTTTCAGCATGATGAAGGCCAACCCACTATAGTGATTGGCATATATGATCCACTTTCTTGAGTCTTGGGGTACCAACTCAACTCCCTGACCTAAAAGCAGCAAGCCTAGACCTCTAGAGAAGATCTTAACCCCACCCCAGACATAACCCAAGTAACTTCCTGCTGATGGACATACTAGTAACTCCATACAACTTCAGATCTCATGAGGTGTTCACACCACTCATCACACCATTGACTATCTATTGAGCACATGCTATGTAACAGGCACCTTGACAAGCATTTTAGCAAATAAATATTATTTAATATTTACCTAATGCTATGGGACCATCATTATTTTTCATCTGAGGACACTGAAACTTAGAGAAGTTAAATGTTTTTGAGTTTTATTACATGGAGCAAGGGGCAGAGACTGGACTCAAACCCATCTACGTGGACCTGAAGATCATACACATAACCACCCTACTCTCTTACTGAGCAGAGATGATTTAAATAAATCCTGAATGTGTTAACATCAGTCTCCATTGCTCTGGTTCCAAGAAACATCACATTTCTGTATTTTTATAAATCAACTTAACTGGCTCTGAGCCCCAACTTACCTAAAAAATGGAAAATTCAATCTCAGGTTATGCTTTCTTTGTTGAGTGGAGGGCAACCTGCTCTCCACGCATAGGTTATACAGTTGAATGAGGAGCTACAGAAAATGCCTGGAAGAACAGCAGTGTTGGTGGCTGGCATTAAGATAACTCCTCCTCTAAGTCTATGTATCCATTTTGGGTGGTGATTTCATGTGTTCATTTCCTACAGAGCCACGTGGATGTTTTCCCTAGTCATGGCTCTGTCCCAGGCCTTGGTGAACCACCCCAGTCTTAGGTCTGCAAGGAATGGGACCATGTCCCTACTGGCTTGAGGAGGCAACCACATATGTGTCCCACCTTCAGAAAGGTCCTCACTTCTTCCACTTTCAAATCTTCTAATGCTCTTCCTTACTGCATATAATTCTTTTTCTTAGGTAAGAGAGAGCTTTGAATCAAAACCCACAAAGCCAGATGGGAATGAGCAGAAATATTTCTCATTCTTTCATGAATGGCAATTTTTTAATCTGGTCACATTGCTACATGTGCTTAGGTCCCAGCACACAAATTATTGAGCCTTCCCCAAAATTCAAAAGAGCAAGCAGGAGAAGTATATTTTTCCTATTTTGTAGATCAACAGTCTAAGCCTCCAAAAATTGATGTTTTCTCATTTCTTATTAGATTTATTTTTTACTTATTTTATGGTTTTATTTGCTATTGTTACTATATTATTTTTATCACATTTAAATTAATTATTGATGGTTTATAAGAAAACTATTGGTTTATTTTTTATTGATCTTATATTCAGCCATCTTTTTGGATTCTCATGTATCTCCTAATATTTCTAATATAATTGATTATCTTATATTTTAAAAGTATACGATTGTATTTACAAATGACAGGAATTTTTGCCTATCCATTATGATATTTACATTTCTTATATATAATTTTTATATATTTAAAGGTGCCAGGAGACCCTATATAGTGTTGAAAACCCTCAATGATAAATTTTGTTTTTTGGGTGGCCCTGAATGTATAAATGGGAACACTTCCAATATTTCACCATTGAAAATATTGCTTATTTTAAGTCTGACAGATACCTTTTATCAAGGAAAAGAACTTCCCTCTTTTTCCTAGTTTGCCGTAACTCATTTTAATCATTAACATGTATTGAACTGTATCAGATTATTTTTGGCATTTCCTTTAGTCTAATAACACTAAACTGATGTCTAATATGGGTTGAGTCATCTCGAATTCCTGGGTGCCAGCATCTGGAGCCCACAGGGGAGAATGAGAGGCTTTAAGTGCCTCATCTTTTAAGATTGGAGAAATGCCCCAAGGACCCCACTATGGAACCTGTAAGGAGGGGGCTGTTCAGTATGAGTGATTTAGTAATTCCTACCCCCATAGTCAGTATAAGGAGGAATAAATAGAGGAAAGAAGGCTGATGCACCTTGGGTAGAAATTATCTCTTCTTCTTCACTCCCTGAAGGAGGAGACTGTACTGTCTTCTTCCTAATTTTTGCAAGTAGGGATGCTCAATTGCTTCACCTTCCTCAATTAAGTCACCTAATGTAGAAATGGAGGGATTATATCCAGTTCTAAAATTACTGAAGTACTAAACCCGTAGATGGACTGATCTTGCTGAGGCCTGGGGAGATGGAGAAAGGGGAGAACAGAGCTGGGAACAAGAGTGTTTGGAGATAATGTGGATTTCCATCAATTGTATGGAGTTTCCCTGGGGCTGTGTGAATGCCAATGTCATGGAAGTGAGCTGGGATTTAAATTCTAGTTGTGAGCAGGTTGCTTCCCTTGAAGCAGGGACACAGGAGCTCAAAGAAGAAGAGACAATGAATTGAAATGTCCACTGACATGATATGGACTATAGGAAACATGCAGCTAGAGGCTTATAAGGTCCCTTGTCTGAAGAACTAGCTCTTGAGAAGGGTTGTCATTTGTAATCAAAGGGACTAAACAACCAGTCAGGGTGGGGCAAGAAGCAGCACTGTTCCCACTGACATGTGGTTCCTCCTGTGAGCAGGTATTGTCTACTATTGGAATCATCATTTTCTCTACACCCCACATATGGCAAGCAGTAAGAGAGAAGGCCTGCCCACCCTTCACTTCAAGAAGCCAGCACTCTATGGCCAGAGTAATGATGAATCAGAGATGAAACTGAGATCTTAATGAGAAAACTGGAGTACAATTCATTTTAAATCAACCCTAGAAAGTTTTCATTGCAGGAAGAAAATGTATGAAGAATTTTGAGATCAGGTAAACTTCAAATTTTAAGATTGTATATATCTGCAGTAAGACTCTTAAACTTCTTAGATATTAAACTAGAGGCCCGGTGCATGAAATTCGTGCAAGGGGGCGGGGGCGTCCCTCAGCCTGGCCTGCAACAACGCCAGCATCTCTCACCCCAGCCTCTGGCTCAAGGTCCCTCCTTTCCCCTCCCTCTGTACGGCCGGGGCGGGGACACTGGGCTCGCATTGCTGCAAGCCCAGCATTTCTCACCCTGGCCTCTAGCCTGAGGCCCCTCCCCTCCACTCCCTCCAGGCACGGACACTGGGCTCGTATTGCAGGGGCTACGCCACCAGCATCCTGCCCCTGCCACTATGGGAACCGCCATCTTTGTCACAGAGTGATGGTTAATTTACATATTACTCTTTTATTAGATAGGATTAGTGAGTTACATGGATTCATTTTTTGATATTGAACCATCCTTGCATTTCTAATATATACCTTACTTGGTCTAATGGCTGATACTCTCATCACACTGTATGCCAGGCACTATACTTGTATTAACTCACATTATCTTCTTTAGCCCTATTATCCCCAATTTACAAATAAGAATATTGATGAAAATTGCCGGGGTCAATCCCAGCAGGTCCAGGGGTTCCCAAAGGTGTAGACGGAGTCGGCGAAGAAGGAAGGACACGGAGACAGTGTTCAGTTGATCAGCAGCCTAGCCAGGATCTCCAGCCAGGATCTCCAGCCAAGTTCTGGTCTGGATCTCCAGCCAGGTTCTGTGTCCATGTTCTCTTGCTAGGTTCTTCAGGTTCTCCAGCCAGGTTCTGTAGCCATGTTCCCTCGCTAGGTTCTCCAGCCAAGTTCAGTCCAGGTTCTCCAGCCAGGTTCAGTCACCAAGTTCTAGTCAGGTTCTCTTGCCATGTTCTATAGTCAGGTTCAGTCCAGGATCTTTTGCCATGTTCTCTCGCTAGGTTCTGTCTCTAGGTTCTGAGGCCAGTTTCTGTCCAGGATCTTTTGCCATGTTCTCTCCAGCGAAGTTCTTCTGTCTCTAGAGAACGTTCTGTGTAGGTTCTGTGCCTCCTAAGTTCTGTGTTCTAAGTTCTGTGTTCTAAGTTCTGACTTCTTACAACTGTATTTATACCAGTTGATTCCAATCCTATCAATCTCTATTACAAAGGTTAGGGCGTTTCTTATCTCCATTCCAGGGAGTAAAGATTATGTAGCTTAAGCATGATTGTTCATAGTTAAAGTGATTAATTACCCGCCTGGCACTTAGTTGAGGGGTTTTATCCCCTCCCTAACTTCAGGGGAAAATCCCTACCTGGGGAAACAACCTTTCTCAGAGACCTTGGTTAAAACACATAGTGCCAAGAAGGTTAGCAAACATATTAAGAACAGTATGCCATATATGCCAGGTCCCTTGAAACAGCAAGCATGGACCGGCTCCCGGCAGAAAATAGATATTAAAGTGATTTGTCAAAGATCATGTAGTCACAAGATGGTGGCATAAAGTATATACCTTTACGTGCCGCCCCCCACAACCACATTAAAACTACAACTAAAAGACAAAACGGCGATCATCCAGAACCATGGGAAAGCTGGCTGAGTGGAAGTTGTACAACT